CTTAAATAAATGTATTTATTTCAAATGTGAAATTTTACCAATATACTCACGGACCACTAGGGGGCGCTCACGGACCACCAGTGGTCCGCGGACCACACTTTGAGAAGCACTGCTGTAGGCTATCTATGGTCCCGATAGAGAGAGGGGGGTATAAGGAAAACACAGACACTCATCACCGGGGTCACAATATCAATCGATCCAGCAGAGCAATAGCCTATAGGCAAAACACAGAAGATCAACAAAATATATGACTTAAATGAACTTACCAAAGCTGAAGTAGATGGTCAACTTCATTCATTTTCTTTGCGTTCTACTGATTGTAATCACTATACGCTGCTCTCTCTCGTCTCCTCTTCACAAACAACTACTATTTCCGTGGCACACGTACTCACAGCCAATCAGCTCTCTGAATTATGAGATGACGTTTGGTAGGTATGTCAGCTCAGTGCCCCTATGGTGATTATTTGTTGCTGCACACATTGAATAGAAAAATACTCTGAGCATGCGCAGTGTAGTTTTTACTGCAACCATTCACTTAGACAGTGAGAGAGAGGGGCTAGGTCGGGGCTTGACCCACGTCGCTCAAAACGGCTCAACAGGCACACTGTAGACACTAATTAGAAGAACAGACTAAAACAGCAATGTACAGACGAATCAGATGATTAAACATGATCTTAAAATATATTTTAAGATGTATTTTCTTTGCATTTATTTGCATTTTTTTGGAATTATTATTTGAGTTACCTTCTGCAGTTAGCAGTGGTGACTGGTGTCAACCAGTCGCCACTGCTAACCTTTACACTCAAAGACCACAGGATGTAATTTGTATTCATACATTTGAATATGAAACCATCTATCTCTCATTTAGCTCTAAAGAGGAGAACTTAGAGTCACTGTGGTACCTGTCAGGGTAGGGAGGGTTAACAGTAGAACAGTACAGCTTACAGAGAAGAGAAAACATCTGATCCTTTTACAACAAACACTACATGCTCTTTTTGTTTTTTTACTAACATTGTAATCCTGTTAGTAATCCCCAATTTCAGAATTGTAAAAGCTGTCTAATTACGTCTAATTTAATGTAACTGTAAGAGAATACAGTTTACATTACATGTTTTGTATCCAGATTTTTTAAACAATCCCACTTGTGAAGAATGTACTTTTAAATAAAGCTGTGAAATGACTCTTAATATAGCGTTCCTAAAAGAAAATGTAGGTGCTAAATTACATTTTGCTGCTGCCTCCGTCACCAGCACCTGATATGCTGATGATCCATAATCCTGTCTGTATCTCCAAACTGAGGGGGGGCCTTCCATCATATACTGTAATACTCTGAATATTGATAACCTTATGAAAACCTCATAACACTTTTACAGATACTGCTGGCAGTTTAAACACAGTTTAGTTTAGTTATAGAGACTTGGCTGGGGCCCAAAAGGTTGCCGGTTGAAGTCCCTATCAGACCAAAAATACGAAGTGTGGCCTGGTAGTTGCAGAGGTTCTAGTTCACCTCCTGGGGACTGAACAAGGTGTCCTGGAACAAGGCACCAAACCCCAAATTCTCCCAGGCACTGAAACACTGGCAGCCTCTTCACTCTGACGCCGCTGCATTAGTGCATTTCTATAGGTCCTGTAAGTGCATTGGTATGTGTGTGTCGGACCTATTTGTGTAATTGTAAAATAACACCAGAGTGAAGAACTGAATTTCGCCTTGAGGATAAATAAAGGTGATTTTAATCTTGTTTTTTATTCATCCTCTGTCCAGAAATCGAGGAGAGTATGATAGTTTGACTGTCGGTTATTGTACATTTCTATTTTTACATCATTCTTCAGTGAATGAGAAATTGCTGCACCATTCTCCCTGCCTTAAACCAGTTTAGCACAGATTAAGACCTTTGACTCCGCCTCAAGCCACCTCTAGCCTTTTACTTTGCCCATGGGCAATCAGTTGGCCATTAGCACCTGGAAAGTGGCCCAGGGACAGCCCCACTGAGGTGTGATACATAACCCCATGCAACAATTTGAAAAGTAACTGGGCTTGGCACGCACTAGCTCACCCACTTTTTATCAATAGGAAGTGGTTATCGAGTTTGCCTCAAAAGTCATTGTCGTTGTCAGGTGGGGCAAGAATTTGGAAGTGAAGGGATTTGTTTTGTGCACTGAAACATTGCATTTAATTAATTGTACTATGTTAACAAATTACACATAATTGTATTAGGTTAGTTGGAAGTGATAATATTATGTTGAACCTAAAGAATTTTTCATTTAAACTTAATATGTTTGCTTTAAGCTAACCTCCAGTTATGTGTGATTTTTTTGACATAATACATGTCAATGTTTACATTTTTTCAGAGTAGTCATCATTTTCTTAGAAGTTTTCATTAGATGCAATCTGTTGTTCTAATTTGATGCCATAGTTATAGATATTTAGCTGGCTTATTGTTAGGGTTATGGTAAGGGCTTGGGTTCAAATACCTCCCTTCATCTTGGTCCCCTTTTCTCCCAAATTTGCTTCAAATGTTACCTCTAAGTCCTATTTTTACATTGGCATTTCTTTATTACCTCTCCTGTGCTTTTCTACCGCAGAGCAGAACAGGTCTCTCCATCCGTCAGCGTCGATGCACAGTATATGCGTTTCTGTGTGTGTGTGCATCTGTTCTCAGAGTGTGCACTCCCACCTCCCTGTTGTTCTGCTTAGAGCGATCAATAGAAAGCGAGGCTTCATCACAGAGAGAAAAAGCTGGGCTGTCACAGGACCGTGCAGGGACTCAGTGCCCCCCCCCGGGAGCTCTGAGTGTGTGTGCTCACCAGCGCTGTCTCCATGTGTGCTTTTTTGCACCTTAAGCACATCAGTGAGCCAGCCACATAACATAACCCTCACACACTAACACACACATACTCCCTAAAAGCCCCCAGGATCAAGTCCTCACCTTCATGAAGAGTGCTGTGTCAATGTCACGGAAAGTCTCTGTCAGAGCACATTACATCAGCCTCATCGCACTCATGCATCCCAACTGGACACTGGACTGGCCGACCACTTTAGGCCCCGCACTGTTAAGACACACACAGAGGTGAGGCTGTTCTGTGATAGTAGCATGCTGATAATTGTCCTGCACCTGATCTTCTCCATGTAAGTGAACTATCTTCTTCTGCCCGCACAACCTTGGGCTCTAGCTTCTTAAACAGCAACTTAAAACCTAATTCAAACCTCACGTTAGGATCCTGCTCACCCTGTTGGATTTCCAGCTTAAATCAGCTACATACTAAATAAGAGGTGCAGCAGCACAGGCAGTATTGTGAAATGTTTATTCAGCCACAGCTGACGTTACATTGTTTTTATGTTTATAAGGGTTGAGGATAAACCCGATTATTTTTATATTCATGCATTTCCAACTGAAATCCCAAACTCCAGATGTAGAATGAATGTGTACTTCTGTATTATTTATGCTTTCACTTTTCAAGGATAACTCAATTGTTGCTTGGCAGGCTGCCAACTCCCTTACATCTATTCCAAACATACAGGAAGTGCATTATTAAACCGCAGCTAGCGGACAGGCAGCAGGTAAAGGAGGGAATCCTCACTGACAGAGTCCACTCACATGCACTTATAGTTAAAGTCAACAGAGAATCGTGTTCATCATGAATACATGCAGCCGACCTCCTTTAGGAACCATGGTGTGTGTTTTTACAGAAGAAGCTTCTTCATGCTACACAGACATAAACTGACCTCTTCAGACCTCTAAAGGCTACAATGTGTTAGTTAAAGTCGATTAAATATTTCAAAAAGAGGAGGGGACTGCTCTGTGTAATAACCTCTCTTTCTTTCCGTCTACATACAGAAGATTTTTTTTTAAATGTTGAAGTTAAAAGCATCAATCTGGTGCACTTTGAGAGCAAAATTAAGAGATCTATGGATACATCTCTCAACACCCATATGAAACAGAACTGTAAACAGATTTTCTTTTTCTTTATGGATATTTTACAAATCACTCCCCTTTCAAACTGTCTTCTTGTTTATTAACCTGTTAAGCCTCAAGCCTGTTTTTCAGGTCTCAGGCTCGAAAATGACATTCCCAGAACAAATGACTATATCTTCCCTTCTAAAAGGGTTACATTAATAATCTTTTTTTTCAAAGCAATGATACACCTGTGAGTTGGATGTAGAAAAGTCAGAATCAATATAGATGTTTTTATTTTAAAGTAAATTCAGATTGAACATATTAAAAAAAAGTAAATTATAGTGTCCGTCCAAAAATAAACCACTACTTATAGTGAAAACCACCCTTGAATGATGGGATAGTAGACTAAAAGCTCTAGGAATCCAAACTATAACATATAATAAGTACCCTGTATCAAGATTGATGCAAAACAAGTGGCATTTGACCTTTTTAGAGAGGCTTAGCAAAAAAAAAACACCTCTAGGGTCATTTGGGTGGAAATGGGTGTATTTGTCGTTTCTCTGGAACCCATTGGTCGATTTTGATGATTGACATCTCTTTTGAACCGAACATCACAAAACAGAAAACTTCTAGCCTTTCTGGAAATCTCTAGAAATGCTGTTTATAATTTCGAGAAACAAGAGAGAACAGGTTGCAAATTAATTAATGTCCGGTTGCTTGGCTGTGAGGATTTGAAATGTCTGTGTTTGGGGACTCCACCCGAAAAGCACAGTGAGAGAAATACAAATAAAAAAGCGCATTTAAATAAATGTCCTTTCAACAACTGCATTTTGAATGCTGCAAAAAGCTCATTGCAGGGTCACAGAACAGCTAGGGCTTAACACGATTGTAACTGCACACACAGACAGAAGAGTTTGCATTTTGTTCCCAGGTTATTAATGATTTCAAGACATGAAAAAGCAAGTTCAGGTCATCGATCAAGTAGTTTCTCCATCAAAAAATACATTAAACAAGGACCAACTTTAGGGAAGAGGTTTGGGAACACAAAGTGGATTTTGTGGACCTTTTAACTGAATTGGAAGAACAACTTTAAAGACTTCTTACCTTTCCAACATGCTGAGGTTCAGGTCCGATGTGTTCTTCCAGAACAAAAAACTGGTTCCAGATCCAGCTTTTCTTGGGCCGATGTTTGGAATCCTTGTCGTTCTCCAACACCTTGGTCTCGTTCTTCTTTACTCTGATTGATCCTCTTGAGTTTGTGAATGAGACCTTGGGGTCGGATTTGGCATTTGTATTTACTTGTGAACGTCTAAATTCCGATTTAGGATTGGACAATGAAGCTGGACTGGCATTGTAGTAGGTTCTCGGGTTCATTGTACCAGACAAGTCAGACTTTTGATGAAGACTAGACAATAAAGTAGTGTTGAGAAATGACTGAGAATTATTAGTTACTACCTTAAAGTTGGAGAATGCTTTTGGCGTTGACTGCGACAGTAATCCAAGCCTTGGTTTTGTATTGGTTTTAGGGATGAATTTTGAAGATTTCTTGGGAACGTTTAAATAATTTCTTTCCAATTGATTAGAATTTGAATTGTCTACCAACCCCTGCCTTGAATTAGAACTCTGTTCTCTGGATGCATCCTGTAGCGTGGGTCTACTGTTTGACGTTGATGTGTCCGGGGGGATTCCAAGTGGAACGTTTGTGTTGGCCCTATGGTTGTCACTGAGAAAGGACATGGTGTCAAGCCTTGGCTTTACCTGTGACTTGCTCTGGAGATCTTTGAGTGAGCTCAAGAGTGGACGGGGATTCAGTGGAGAAATGCTTTTTTCAGAACTGGAGCTAGGCAAAAAGGTTGGTTCAGGTGTTGACTTTAGCCGTGGATAAGGGAACAGGCTTGGGTTGGGGTTAGTGTTAGGGCTCAAATCAACACGGGTCCCATAAGAACTCTGTGCGACAACACAGAGGAAGACCAGACGACAAAGACAGGAAATTGCAGACCAACCGACTGGAACTCTCATTGTAAAGAAAGAACGGTCAGGAAAATTGTCCCCTCTCACTTTCAATGCGTCAAACCACTGTACACTGTGGGCGCAAAAAAAGCACACCCACAATACACTCAAATGCACAGGTGTACAGTCCGTTTGAAAGTGTGGAGTAGCCTGGAGTGTCCATGTGGTCCGCTCAAAATATTCATTTTGTACAGTTCCCTCCAAAAAAAAAAAAAAAAGAAATCCATAATCTTGATCTTGATGTTTAACTTTGTAAGGAAAAGAGATGTTTCTTAAGATGTTGTATTTTTCTTCCCTCCACCATTGATCCAACAGGTGAGAACCAATGTTTAAAGGGTTAGGGTTAATAGATACACCCAGTCCATGGTAATCCTCAACAACTTAATATCCACTCTTTCCAAAAGCTGAAGTCCTTTTTTTCATATTAAAAGCAACATTTCAAAAGCTGGTTGTTGTATTGAAGGCTCATCAAAGGTGTGCACTTCCTGAAACAGAGAAAAGGAAATCCATGAACAAAGGCCTTCAAGTACCAGAAAACAGCAACGTTTCTTTCAATAAACAATCGGTTGGGTATAAGACAATTTGTTGACATTCTTAGGCATGTTATTCTTTTAGCTTAATGCTGGTTGGCAGCTTGAAAAGGATGACATCTTTGACAAGCAAAAAGTTTTGCTTGTCAAAGTACATTTCAACATGTCAGGTATAATTACTGTTTTGTCAAAGCAAATGTATCCAGGTCTGAAAATATGTATCAAACATGTTGGTTATTTAGCAAGGTATACAACCATGTGAAGCATTTAGCTAAAGATTAGCAGGAATGACTAAGCTGGACAGTTTTTATTCCAAAAAAGTGGCTGTGGGGAAAAGTGAGCCACATGCTGTTGGGTAAATTGAGCCAGTGGTTCAACTTAACCCCCATGAGGCACTGAGGTTAAGTTAAGTCTCTGTAGCATAAAAGTGTATTTTAATGTAGTTTTACACAACTGATTGTTTATTGTGTTTTAAACAGTGTAGAAACCACAACATTCCTGTACTAAACAATCAATCAATGTTTATTTATATAGCCCAATATCACAAATGTTACATTTGTCTCAGTGGACTTCACAGTTTGTACAGAATATCAGTATGACAATACGACACCCTCTGTCCTTAGACCCTCACATCGTACAAGGAAAAACTTCCAGAGAAAACCCACAATTTAAAGGGAAACATGGGAGAAACCTCAGGGAGAGCAACAGAGGAGGGATCCCTCTCCCAGGACGGACAGACGTGCAATAGATGCTGTGTGTAAACAACTGGAGAGAGAAGGGTTTAGCAGGTAGGGTGTGAAGAGGACACATGATCCAGTAGGTCAGCTAAGGGTAACTGGCCTTGTGTAAATACACAATCTTGTTAGAATGAATTATATTCTGTCTAGATTGGTTAAATAATTCTAAGGAATGCCACCATCTTGCATGCCGTATGCCTGAAGCAACATCTTGAGAAAGGACTACAGCCTTCAATAAAACTACAGTGATAGAGAGATGAGAGAATAACCACGATTGATAACATGAATAATTATCAATGACTAGCCTATTTAAATCAGTAACGTTTTTTTTACTTATGCTCAGGTTTAAGCTTGAAAAAGTAAATTGGACAATCTAGCCCTTGATGCGGATCAACTTACCCCTTAGAGGGGGCAAGTTAAGCCACAAGACCACTTTTTTTTGAGAGGTCATATTTCCATGGCCCTTTGTGATAGATGCATTGTTTTCATTTTTGATTGAAAGAAGACAAAGGTAAAGGTTGTTGTTGTCATTTTGACTTTTATCTCACTTTTCCTTGAAGGACAACATCAGTAACATTGGCTCATCTTACCCCACTCTCCCCTAAATGCTTTAAAATGCTATTTCAACAGATGGCCCACCACAGTTGTTTAGAGTTAAAGTTGACCTATCATGCTATTTTTATGCAATAGCATAGGTCTCAGATATATAAAGATATATAAAAAACATGTCTATGAAGTTTTTTTTCTCAAAAATACCAAACAGATCACCCATTCTAGCCATGCCTCATATCCCTCTATTTCACTTCCTGTTTCAAAAGTGCTGATTCGAGGTATAAAGCTTTAAAAAAAAAAAAAGGAGAGGGCTGAGCTCATGCGGTAAATAGTAGCTGCCGACGGGCAGCTACTATCTACTATCTACCGCATGAGCGCAGCTACTATCTACACTAAATACTGCGGTGATGAAACGCCATATCATGGACTATCAAGGATTATTTCTGAAACAGTATGGAGCTCAAAGGCTTTCTCTCTTGCCGGTTATACCACAAGGTGAGTTCCTTTTTATTTCCTGCTTCTTTACACACATGCTCTCCAGTACAGGGTTAGCTCTGAGTGTTAGCAATGCCTGCTAATGTAAACAAAAGCCATTACGTCCAAAACACGTAGCTCATTGTTTCTGATAGCAACTTTCTGATAGGGCCGTGGGTCAACCATCCGCTATGACTTAAATAACGCAACACATTCTCACTCCCAACTCGGCCTATGTTGACGTTATGTCAGGGTCCCTGTCGTCACTTTCCAACGCAAGGGGGCCCTGTAGCGTCGAGTTTCAACTATCAGGGAGTCCCATTGACTTGCATAGAGCTCCCTGAACGTTGGTAATAGAGGAGTTGGGATCGCGGCAAAATGCTCTCCGCAGATCCATTCTCACAGCGTTTATCAACCTTTTTCTTACTCAATATCAAGCCACACTTATTGTTTTTAATTCTTTATTTTAATTAAATAATGTAGGACTTTTGTTGCCGTCAGTTATGGGGACAGTAGGGGCTCAGAAAACTGAAATCTGTATTGTTTCATCGTTTTTTCCTTCTAATTTTGTATTATTTTCTAAACCACACACTGTTATTTACTCAACAATAACACACAATTATCCTTGTGTTTATTTATTTGTTTGATTAATAAAGTTGGAGTCCGTCAGGACCGAGGGTCGGAGCAGCTCATAGTAGTTGCTTTAGAGAATTTTACACCCGGAAGTAAGTATTCTCTCCGCTTTGCTTGACAAACCCCCGTGATAGTCCTCAAGCTCTGTGATTGGAGAGTGTGCTCCGAGGGTTACGCCGAGCGTCGAACAGCACTTGAAATGGGATGGAACCACGGCAGACTGTCCAAAACTGGATTTGAACGGGTCCACCCCGTCCCCCCCTCCCCGTCCCCAGAACTACACATGCTGGCTATTGTGTTTCGCAACATGTTCTCTATGGCACGTCTCTACTGGGAGTTGTAGTTTTAAAAGACGTTTTCGTATTTCCCATAATAAGAAGTTGCCAGTATTAAACTGTATACATCCCTGGAGGTTTATGGGATAGGAAACACTCACATTTAAAACATATAATTAATAAATGGGTGAAAATTGCTTGTGTCCATAATGGGCAGCATTATATACCCACATGCCAGCTAAGGTCAGAAGAGCTTTATTTAACAGCTGGTCTTATGTCTGTGACCCCTCCTGTTGTTCATTGATAAGCCTGAAACATGCACTTGTCAAGGTTCAGAGGCGAATTTAGCAAACATGGCAGTAGCCATCGATCATCTTAAGATATGATATACTTTATTGATCCCAAGTTGGAAACATTTGCGTTACATCAGCATGTGTAACAGTTCTAAATATGCAGTGGTGTTTATTTGTAAATCATTTAGTATAATCTATGGAAGCCCATTTCTGCCACTTAAAAAAAATAAAAATTCCGATAAAAAGTCATAGTTATGAGATAAAAAAGTCGAAATTATGAGATAAAAAGTCATAATAATGAGATAAAAAGTCATAATTATGAGATAGAAAGTCATAATAATGAGATTGGAGAGAGGCGAGCTCTTCTTTGGAGGCCGTTGCATTTATTTAGTTCTTCTTGATACACAAAATACTTCACAGACCTATATTTTCTGCTGCTTCGTTTTACTTCCAGAAACATAAAAACGCTCGCTCACTCTCGCACCATGCACACACACATGCACGCCAATGATCCAGTTAATTGTTCATCAGTTGTCTGAGTGTGATATACAGGTTAACAGTTTCAAACACATCATTTGTTAATTTCAGATTATACTCTGACATTAGATCCACACAGATATGGAACACATCTTCTTCACATGGGAAGTCCTTGAACACACACTCATCAAGGCAGACTTGAACTTTCTACAGGTCCACGTGGTGCAAACAATCTCTGCCTCCATACAGATGAGGGACTGCATGCAATATGGAGGGACGTCCATGGGGTGATCGTGAGTTATGGACTTGACGGACTCTGTGATTGTTCCAAGTCAATACAACCTCATTAAGTTCTTCCTAGGAGGCAATCAAATAGAATGTATAAAAATACTGGGCAGTGGTGATTACTGCCTTAGTCAAGTATAGTCCTGACCCATGGTTTGTTATATTTGTGAGATGTGTCTTCTAGTTGTACTATGGTAGGTTGGCACAATCATATTAATACCTGTAAAATGTAAATTGCAGCAGTGCAACTAATGTTATATCTTAACAGCTATAAAAATGTGGTGGATAAACCTGAAAATAAAAATTATTAAATACCTACTTATTTGACACAGCTACTCTGAATACCCACATATTTTTGTTAGCCAGAAACAATAACTTATTATTCACTCTCTCCACAGAAAACAGGCAATTTCTATTTTACACATGGTCATTTGTGGCTCTTTAAAAATATTCACCACATTCAACATTTATTTATTTCATAATGTGACAAGTACCTGTATTATTTGTAGAAAGCAGAACTGGATCAAGGACTTGTCCAAGAAGTTGTCTGAGAAGTAGCCGTCTACACTCAGTTTGTCAAAAAGGTCCATCCAAAACTGGACACACTCACTTCGCAAGGTCAGCCACCATCGTTCAATACGCTGGTTTCCAGTGCTTGGACCAAAGGTTACATTGTCTGTTTCAGCTTGGTTCTCAGAAAAATGCAAAAACTGCTGCATTTCAGCCATATGGCCATTTTCTGTTCCTAAATCAAGTCTGAGTCTGGCAGGGCACCCACCAGCATTGATAACAGCATCAATAAAGTAGCCAGCAATGATCTTCGGGTCTTTGTTTGTTTTGTAAGCTTCAAGCCATATCATCTTTCTGGAAAACCCGTCAATGCATCCACTGATTGCAATTCCAAATGGCTTAAGCTTGTCGTAACCATCAATGTGTCATACATAGTTTGGACCACAGCTGTGGTAGATGCGCCTTCGCAGTCTGTTTCTTGACCTCAGATCAACACCTTCACCATCCAATAACTGTAGCAGTATTCACACTGTTTCTCTGTCAGTCACAATTCCATGTAACCAACATTTTTGGTGCATCCATCTGTAACCATGACACTGACCAGATGTTTCCAGTTGCTGTTCAATGAAGATTGCCACCTCAGCCACATTGGTTTTATTCTTTCGACGCCAGAGCTGCTTCTTACTTAAAATCCTTTCAAGGGTGCGTTTGCTTAGTAC